GGATTAAAAGTAGATGAACGATTAGCACAGTTTAGACCAATACACAAGCAAGTATAATTCCATGCAACTTCAACTCAAAATTCACTAATACAACTGTATAAGAAGCTCGGTTGATTAAGGGCTCCTCCGACTCCACCATCATGCGTGTGGAATTAAAATCTTTTACAAAAAAAAAAAAAAAAAGACAAAATAAAACAAAACTGAGAACGTTGGCCTATTAAATTGAGAGATAAAATCAAGGTTGGTTTTTTTTTTTGGTGAATTTGTTAAAAACATTAGCAATAAAAATCGAAAAGACAAGGAATTAATGTAATGCAGAATAGCATTCGTTTGAAAATAGATGAAAGTAACTTAATTAATTTATACAGGATTCAAAGAGAAGGTCCTTACTTTTTTTAAAAAAAAAGAATTTATAATTAATTAATTTAAAAGTTTTTGAAGGGATGGCACTCGTTAGCTTAATTTACCCATAATTATTTAATAAGTGGGTACCATGAGGGATAACTTAAAAGGGATAATGGGATGGGGAAGAGAGATGTAATATTAGTTATATAAAAGAAAAGAAAAGAAAAACGATTATTAAATTCTGTGATTATAATTAAGATCATCATCCCAGAAATCAAGGTTCAGTTTGTACCTAACGCTTTTGTAACTACTAACTAGACTATTAGTCTTTGTTGGATTCATGTCGGTGACTTGACATGCTCGTAAGATAATATTAGACACCCTTTACTTTAGCGCGTGCTGCCAAATCCTATAACTTCTTTGGATTAATAATATTCATCCGATATTGCTGAAGAACTGACGCTGATCACTAACTTTGGATATAATTATTTTTATATTTAGTATTATTATTAGTAGTTTTTATTATTAAAGAGTTGTTGACAAAACTAATATTGATTAATCAAAATTGATCAGCTCTAAGAGTTTTTGTTTTGGAATTTTAATTTGAATACAATACAAATCCAATATTATAAATTTCATGAAGAAGTTCTTGGTAATTTACAAGATTTAAGACCTAACTAATTAAAAATGGATATTCCATTCTCTTAATTAATTAAATATAAGCGCGCTCTAAAGATAGTGTGCAAAATGACAATTACTAATCAGTTTAACGAAGACAATTAGTACTATGTGCTGCTCTTTATAAAAGAAATATATTATTAAATATTGTCAAAAGATCCGGAATTCTTGTTATGGCCCTCTTCTTGGAATTTCCATCTCGAACTCCACACCATGCACCGTGATAGTCGCCGGTTCACATGAAACTATGCCATGCACAGTACCATTACCATTTTCTTCTTCTTCTCCACCATCTTCTACCTTACTTACTTTTAACTCCCAACTACCCAAGTTATATATATATATATATATATGCTTGTATGTTACCTCTTGTTGTGCCATCATATTAATTATACGTGCAAGGAAGAAGTAAATAATTAATAATGTTATTAATAGATAGATTCGTTTTATATAAAAATTTGATGAGATGAGTACTGAACAGTACTGATGATTGCTATCAATATGACTTTGTGGTGTGTGTATATATGTGTGTGCGAGGTTTTCTAAGAAACAAGGATGAGAGAGAGAGAGTTCATTGATAAAAAGGTGGTGGTAGAAGCTAATGAATTATGGTTTAACCGATCATTTTAATGTTTTTCAAGAGATTTCGACTTCAAATCTCTTTTCTTTTTCCCTTTTTTTTCTTTTTCGTAATAGGTCCTTTAGAGTCTAGCTAACTTTTATTTTTCTATTTTCTCTTTTTGGTACATCGGGTTGAGTCAATGGATCTTGCACTACAACTTTGCCCAAATTTTGAATCCTACCCCATCCCTTTCAAACCACTGTTCATTAGTGTGTGTATATATATATATATATATAGAGAGAGAGAGAGAGAGAGTTGCCTAGCTACTACATATACCGGTTATCCTTTTGATTCAGCGAGTTGAAAATCATATAATTTAATTGTTGTGCTTGCGATTATTAGATCAGTTTTCTTATTTAATTTATTAATTATATTTTGATTTGTTGATTAATTGTTCTATCTATCTAGCATAATCAAAAAACTATGTCTGCGCGTACTTATATATATAGCTAGGTAGGTCTATTTAAGTTTGAGGTAATTTATATAAGGAGATAATAATATAATCAGTATGTTATGAAAACATGACTGATGTATTTTTAATTGATAAAATGGTAATTATAATATAAATATAATTAAGTGCATTTTTTTAGAGAGAGGCTTTTTTTATGAAAAAATATAAATTAATAGTGTGCTTTTTTTGAAGTGCATTTAAAAAAAAATAAGAAAAATGAAAAATAAAAATATAGTGTTCTTTTTTTTAAAGAGAATTTTATATTTTTAAAAATAAAAAAAAGTTAATGCAATTAAATATATAGTGCTATATGCTGCTAAAAGTTAATGCAATTAAATATGTAGTGTTATACGCTGCTAAGAATTTCAATGCATCTCAGTGATTTTATTTATTTATTTTGTATGCCCTAGCTAGCCTCCGTATATGTATAGCTGGTAATTAAATTCTCAACTTAGTTCTCGTAGGGTGACCGTTTTAATAATATTTGCATCATGTATTGGGCTCCTTGTCCAGAGCATGCATGGTTTTGTAACTCTTACAAGGAACAAGCTTCCACTAATCAATCAAACGCAGTAATGGTTGGTTTTGGATTTATCAGGCAAGATATAAACATGGTCTGAATTCCGTGGAAACAAAGAAAACTAGACACCAACAAACCAGCTTTACTAGACTTTATAGCCTTAATTTGCTCGTTTTCGGTAAAACAATCGTCATTCTTTACGGGGTCGAGTAATTCATATATTGAAGGACCGATGCTTCGGTTTGATTGGTACGCACAGGAAGAAGCAATGCGGCTTGATGTGTGGTGAATAATCAGTTCATAATTCACATAATATTCTTACAAAATGAGAATTTGGTGACCTTTTTTATACATGAATAGAAAAGGACATGAAATAGTATACCTACATCATTCTATCTATCTTTTATTTCAAACCATTTTCACTACATCTATGTTATGTTGGACCCAAAACTTTTTAGTTTTTCAAAAATACCCATGATAATATGTGAAAATATTCTATACACCACCAACTGTAAAGTACATTTCAAATTTTCAATTTCATAGGTGAGCACTGTATGAAGAGCTCGTTTACTGCTACAATTATTCCCTTACAGGATACCTCTAATTTTTCCCCCAAAAAAAAAAAAAAAAAAAAAATCAAAACCATCTCAATCTACACAATGCATAACCAGACCCAATTATAGTGTAATTGACTGTTTAGGTCATGATCTCGAATCACTCTTGTTTCGTATTTTGTCCTTCCAATTAAATCGTTTTGAAAAATAGCACATCCATTCAGGAAAAAATAAAAACCGTTCGGGTAAGAAAGAAAATTGAATTGGAAAGGCATTGCAATGCTGGCCTTTTGAAGAAGTAAATGGCTGATGTTAAATATAAGCAATCCAACGAGCCGGGAATTAGAAATTCTTGTAGCATCTAACAGAAGCAATCTATCTATATTCGTATCTGATAGCATATAAAATTATTTATCTATAAGGCCCTAGCTAGCTAGTTCCATCTCATAGTCAGTTCAATATCATTGGTACTTGTAGATGCGCATGAAATTTAGGTATTCTCATCGGATTTCAAATGCCCCGGTGACTATCAACAAGTTAGCTAGTGCCATGTGATTGTAATTTTTATTTTCAGACTACGGTCCCTATTTTCACCTAAAAAAATAAATAAAAATAAAAGAAGATAAAGCTACCTGGTGTGTGTATATATATTTCGCAATAATTCTTTATGCTTTTTTGAAAGCCATATGAATAAAGATGACAATTTACTCCACTTCAATAAAGCCCCACCCCACCTTGATCAACGCAAGAATTTCTCGAGTTGACTGAAGAACGACACAAGGCATCCTCTCCGGTATTAAATTTGAACGGAGATAAAGCAAGGATGGTATTTGTCCGCCTCATGTTACTTGTCCCACTCCATTTCTAAAATTATAATTATACTCTATAACAACTTACTCTAAGTATTTATTTTTTATATAAACTATAATTTTTTTACTATAATTTAAAACTTGATAGTAAAATAGAACGAAATGAAATGAAAATAAAAAATTAAACAGAACATCAATGCTCCGCGGAGTTCCCCTTTCCAGTTTGAGGCAGAGGTGATATGAAAAATATTTCCCCACACGAGACACAAAGCGAGAACATGGCAAAATTTTCAAGAACGAGATGAAGGAGGCAATGGCCCATTGCCATTCCTACACATGAATTAGTCACCTTTATAATTAATTTTCCCTCACTTCCATATATTGAGTAATTATAAATTAATTCCTTTAGTTTCAAAAAATAAATTAATTAGTCCCTATCATTTTAAAAACCATTATTTAGTCTTCAATTAATATTGATTATACTTAATTTAATATTATTTTTATTCTATAAAATCTCTTATTTTGTTGTCAATCTTTACACATTTTTTTTCTTTTTCTATTCCTTAAAATAAAAATAAAAATAAGCAAAAAAAAAAAAAAGACTAAATTACAAATAAATTTCAAAACATAACAACTAAATGATTAGTTTTTAAAACAAGTAAGGCTAATTAATTCATTTCTTAAAATAAGAGGGACTAATTTATAATTTACTCCCATATAATTCATATGATTTTTTCTTTTCTTTTCTTTCTAACATTCAAGAATATATCCTTATATCAATTTAAAAACAAGACCACGTCTCAGTTCCTGAATGGTCGCTCTCACTTACCTGGTGCATTTAAAGAAATAAATTCCTTAGATGCAGATTTCAAATTTTGAACAAAAAAAAAAAAAAAAGTAAAAAGAGCAAACCTCCCACCCAACCTAACCTTATACGATCAGTTTCTGCTCCCGACCTTTATAGTTGTTCTTGTCCAGATGCTTCTGCACCACACTTTTTACGGGCAAACTTGACTCCTAGTCATCCACACAGGGAAGCAGCAGCAAAGACCGGACTATCCTCAAACACAGATGTGGAGATGATTGCAATCGATATGTTGGACACTTCAATCCTTCTGGCCATGAATATATCCTATACAAAATGAACGAGTTCTAACCGTCCTACAGCAACTTTTGCAGCACTAGCAATCTTGCCAGGCAAAATCTCAATGCTGCCGAGCGATTATAAAGCATCATTAACCCACTAATACATCAAACTTAACCATGTACGTAATAATGATTTAGACCATAATACAACTGCAAGTTCACATCAACAAGAGCTACTATAGCATTGGTCACCCAAGTGGCCATTGCATGTTTCTCAAAGTCTAGCATTTCAGTATGTAATCTCATCCCGCATAGCAACCAACTCATCCTAATTGGCAGCTTGGGAAAGCAATTAAACCACTCAAGAGAAATCAAAACTTCAAATCCATAGTCCTATTTACGACATGATCCTATACAACAATCCAATTGTTTGCCATGAAACTACAGTTTCAGGTTTGCTTCTCAGTACACAGAGTAATGCCCATACAAACAAGCATATCTGATTCAAATTTCATAGGAACTTATGTGATATGCTTGATGAATCTTTAACATTAATGCAGTCCACATATCAATCGCTTCATGCGTTTGTAGTGCTTACATATATATAACATTTTTCTACTTTACCATACGGTTTGTCATTCATAAAATTTTTAAAACTAAAGATACCAAGTAGAAATTTGAGGTAATAGACCATAATATCTGATATAATCCTACTTGAGAAAATATAGCAGAACGTTCATTCTATAATTTACCTGGCAAGCATCAAAGGCTGACTAAAAATTTTGAGAAACTAATAAGGAAAAAATGATACAAAGAACTAGAGCTACAAATTGTACATTGAGTACTAAACTCACTCATCAACCTGCATTTTCATTCGACGTAGATTGCCTGGTATTTGACAAAAAGAAGGGAGGAAAATAAATAATTGTCCTTGTTAAAGATACTGAGAAGGAAAGAGCAATATAAATATGAAATGGATGGATGGAAAGGGGAGGAATAATAATACGATGATAGAGAGCTAGAATTAAAAGTTGCACTTATGTACTTTTTCCATATCTCACCCTAAAAACACAATTTCCTAGTAGTATTTCGTGACATAACGGCAAGTCCATGCATGCGTTGAGTGAGTTATGGGAAAGGAGCTTCTCATTTCCATTTTTAACTTTTATTTGTCCATTTCTCTATATCATTTCTCCATTTGAATATTGGAGAGTTTATTTTATTTTTCCTATAATTCTAAAACTATAAATTATGTTACTGAGTACATTTGAAAGTATAATAGTGGATAAGTGGAAAAGAAAACACGTTTTTCAAACTTCGGAAAAATTAGAAAAACAAATTGATAAATTGCCAAATCCAGTAAGCTAAAAAAAGGAACATTTTTCATTTTCTGATTAGCACATTAACAATGTTCTGCTTTCCTGAAAAAGTTATCAAGACAACTGCTGCTTTGTTTAGTAAACAGCCCCTAATATCTATAGCTGCTTCCACACCCCATGCCACTTCCCTTCTTATTTAAGTGGACATTCAAAAATGAATTCAAGAAAACTGTAGCTCTACATCCCCAAGTATTGTAAAGGCAGAGATCTATATTCAATTCACTCGAACAAAAATGTTAGAAAACACAGGCTGATTCATTGGATAAGCAAAATTCGGTCAAACAAATATCACAATATTAAGAAATTTCTCCTGCTTAAAGGGGTACTAAGAGCTAAATGCAACATATTTTAATGCAAGGAAAACTACATTTTTTTATGGCGAAAAACTAAGCATTATTCTAAGTGATGTCACAAGCAACAATTAACATTGGATCCTTGCTTACCTGATCAAAGGAAGCAGCGGAGTTGCCACTATCTAAGAGTTTCTCAATATATGTTCATTGACCGATCAACTGAAAACAGGTTGAAAATTCCCTTTCAATTCATCATAAAACCATCTGCAACAGAAAATTTCTCTTGTCAAAGAAGAGCCAAAAGAAGCCTATTTGAAATCAGCCTAATGAAACTTATAAAAGTACCATAAAATTTAGATGTTGCCATCAAGCATAATAGGAACAGAACAAATTTATACACATAGCCCAATCCTAAATTTGACATCCAAGTGTGGGGTTACGACTTTTGAACTGTTGTCAAAGTTGACTAGTCCTATTTGAGAAAAAAGGCTTATTGTCAATTAAACTACATTCTGCTCCATCAGCTTGAGCAAACAAAAAAATAGGCATCTGCTGGATAAGTCATCAAAAATAAATAGATAAAAAAAAAACTATACATTGAAATTGAACTTGATTGTTTGAAAAATATCGTACTCTTCACCAGTCTTACAGCTCTGGTTAAAGCTCCATAAAATATTAGGAATAAAAACACAAACTATCTAAAAAAATTAACAAAAACAAAAGAAAAAATAGTGATCCAAAAGGCATTTCTACTACAACAAGCATTTTCTAAAGTCCCATATTTATTTTTCAATTTTTTCTTCTCTGGGATTTTTTTTTTAAAAAAAAAAGGTATAGTAACAGATAACAGTTTTACAAAAATGTGACACTGAGAACCCACTGCTCTATCTCCTGGGAAAATCTGTCAGCATGTTGCCGAGTTTATGATCTCAATTATCATTCCAATAGCAATATTAAGCAGCAGAAGTGAAGCATCATGCTGTCCTAAAGATTATTGCAACATATTTTTCTGAATCAAGAACTCTCTAAATGTCTTTTCTCATTGCTAAAAGCTGAATGATCAAAAACAAAACATGTCAAGCGCCTTAAATAGATCAAACAAGGTGACCTACTAAATATTTCAAGCCCTGGAATTTCAAGAAGCATTTGAAGGGGTATCGTCAACCAAAATTGAGGGAGAGTTATTAATGTGATTGCCACTGTTATTGTTGCATTAGGGCGTATGCCTTTTTATTGACAGACTTACAGAAATCCCGCCTGCTATCACCATTCCCACAATCTCATTTCTCTCCTTCATTGCTCGTGAAAAAAACATGTAGAATAATATTAATAATAATTAAAAATAACATTTTCCATGCTTGGCTTGGCATACAAAGGCTTCCAGCACAATTTATATAACAGGATTTACCACAATAATAAGGAAATCTACCACACAGGCATAGCACATATGCATAGACACAAATAGACATATCATGCAGTTCTCTAAACCAACCATAAGTAGCAATAAAATGTTTGTAAAAGACATACTTGCATATGAAAACAGGTGCTGATCCATTACTTTCCTTAGTTGCTAACTGGTTCAGTCTTTCAATCTTCTCCTTAAACTTGATAGGAGGGAGAACTTCACATGGACCTTCAATCAACCTAGCCATCACACTGCTTTCATGATTTGATTCATAGACCTGTAACAGAGCAGCAATGCATTCATTACACAAATACAGCAAATTCAAAAAGGGGGTTAACAAAGTTTACTTCCCAATAAAGCATGTTAACATGAACTCAAGCAAGATCTGTGTGTGCATGAGTGCAAATGCATAAGTACAAGAAAGAAACTAGCAAGTCCCTCCAAAACTAATGTGCAAATTATCAATTGTTAAACACCAATAAACTTTCAAATATAGATAACATGCAAAAGTATATGAGTAAACAGTACACCTCATTGCTTTCAGTGGCACATGGGTGGCCAACAGCCTCAGGCAAGTCACCAGGAAAGTAGCACTGACTGACAAGAACCCACTTTGATCCAGTTTCAATTTCCCCCACATGGCCTGTGATAAAAAGTCCATTTCACCATATTAGGATTCCCAAAGAAAAAATAATTCCACAAAAGGCAACAAAAACACATCAACATGAGAAATTATCATGAATGGCTGCGTAAAAGATTTAGTCGAATAAAACCAAGTTTTGATGTATTCCTCTTGGTAGTTTTGCAATTATCATTGCTACAAATTATATGGAATGCTAGATCATTCAATCACCTGAAGTTTAGAGGGTGTTAATTTGCCATTGCTGGAACGAAAAAGGGCATGATCCTGCACTTTATACAATACTCCATCAATGCAACAGGACTTGTAAAAAGTTTTTCCATCTGCAACTTCAATTTCTTCACCAATCCATTCGACACTATGGACGCCATCAGAAGACAAGCCAGGATGCTTTCCAGCCCCATTATTAGGTTCAGAACTTCCTACTGGATTTGCATGCACAACATCTTGCTCACTTTTCTTGACCTCAAATCTTGAAGAACAATCAGTATTTCCTCTTACACTCACTAACTCTTCCATGATTGAATGCTCGTGATGAAGCATCAAAGGAGATTTGGCAAATTTTGATTGTTCTGTTTGGATAATGTCTTGTGAGATACGCAAAGGTTTGGAATCTTCACTCTTGTTGCTTATTTTTTCAGACGATCCAGAAAGTGAACTCTTTTCCTGTGCAGGTGATTCAGATACTTGATCTTGTTTAGTAGATCTTTCAGTAAAGTTGTTGGGGAAAGTACATGCGCCCTGATCAGCATCTTTTCCACTTGATATGATACAATTTCTTGGCATTTCTCTTTCGCCAGGAATCCTTGACTCAGATGCTGATTCAATGCTGCTGCCACCCACAGTACCAGATCCAGCATGATTTTGCACACCAGAACTTCCATTTGCAGTCATCTGTTGACTGACCTTTGCATCTACATTTTCAGTTTTCTTCTCTGATGATGACTGACTTCCAGCTGGATTAGAAGGACCTTTTGGTGGTGTTACACTTCGCATGACACGACCATATTTAGGGGGCAAAGGCTTCCCATTGCTTAATGTCATGCAATTCCTGCAATGCCATTCACCTCTTGGAATTCCTTTCTGATTAATTGCTTCTAGACATTTTAAGTGAAATCCACTCTCACAAGCATCACAAATAACAACAGTTTCCACCTCATTGACAGTAAGTTTGCATATCTGGCAAGTCATAGCCTTATTCATATATTCTCTTGAAGGTGGAGTCCATGTGGGATGTTCAGGAAGCTTCGGCTGTAACAACTTCTGAACAATTTTAGCAATTTCATTGTGATTATTGAAAAACGATGGAGGTTGGACATGCTTCATGCCTTGCATAGGCAAATTTATGCTTGGCAAATTTGCAGATGAAGCTTGAGGCATAAATGGTCTCAATGTTTGATCTCTTGCTGCTTGAGTAGTTGCTCGAGTCAGAACCGAGTCAGCAGCTATCTCAACCTTGGCAGTATTGGGATTTGGTATCTTGTTTTCTGATGCAGATTTACCTGAGGATGCAGAATAGGGTTGCATAGACCAACTTAGAGCATTAACCAGTGAATGATTTGCAGAAGCATTTGCTGCAGTAAATAATTTACAAAGCATGTGTACTTACACATCCAACAAAAACAAGCAACAAAGAGGACAATGACACCAACAGATCAGAAACTCTATCAAAATACTTAAAAAGAGATAAATATCCAAAAACGATACGTCACTTGCTGCCAGTAACACACAGAACAACTCAGCTGTATGCCTAACAAACAATTCTCTCTGGGCTGGAAAGACTAAACTAGGAGGCACTAACGTAGGAAGAAAAGGTAAAAGATAGCTAACGCAGCCTATGGCTTGTTGTTTGGGCTGAAGGACAGAAAAAGAGAACAATTCCTTCATAAAATTATCAACATATCAAAGTTGTTTCTTATTACAATAATAGCAGCCTTTAAATACTAGCAAAACCCTAGTAAAAGAAATCCTAGCCTATAAAAATAACTAAATCTTAGCCATCCAAACTACCACAATAAATAATACATAAATAAACTAGTAAAAGAAAAACCCTAATTATATGAAGGCTAATGCAGTTTTAGCTCCTGCATCAATTGACGTAGGAAGAAAAGACAAAAGATAGCTAAAGGTAGCTAATGCAGCCAACAGCTGGTTGTCCGTGATCAAAAGCCAGAAAAAAAGTACAAACTCTTTATAAAGTTATCACTATATCAAAGCTGTTCCTTATTACAGTAATAGCAGCCCTTAAATGCTAGCAAAATTCCAAGTAAAAGAAATCCTAGCCTTTAAAAATAACTAAACCTTAGCCCATACAAACTACCACAATAAACAATACATAAATAAACTATTTAAAAAAACCCTAATTATAAGAAGGCTACTGCAGTTTTAGCTCCTGCATCAGGCACGCAGACCAAACCTGCTGTTTGCCTGACAATTTTGCTTTAGCCCTCCAAATACATATGCTCAAAATAAATAGATAATGCTCTCGATTAAACATATTTACTTTACGGTGAAACCATAAAATATTATATGCAACATCCAATGAAGTTTGAAATTTGGCAGAGTAGACACTTGGATGTTACCATTCTCTACACTTAAAGACTATACATTCTGATGCAGGACAGCTCAGAGGCTGTTCTGGATCTGAGTTTGGAGGCTATTTATGGGTGTTTATAGTTGTATTGAAATCGGTTTCTACTTGGAATTGTAGAACTATCAAAGTCACACTAATAGGGTTTCTAGGAGTCACATCTAGAGGATAGAAAAACCTCAGCTTCACACCTAGGGTTTCTTAGGAGTCATACCTAAGGGAGATTGAGTCACACAATCAAAAGCAAAGTGCTAGAAAAACCTAATAAAGCTAATTATTACTCCTTAGGACTAATAAAATACTAAATAGAAAATAAAACCTAGACTTAGACAAATTTCCAGATTTTCCAGAAATTACATAAATGTCCTTGTCTACAAAAAGACACAAATGTTGCTTCATTTGTTGTCCGCATCGCATTCTATATACCAATCCCTACACTTAAAGAGTATGAATCATGTAACTCTCCTTGAAGGCTATTCTTAAAATTTATTTTAGTTTATTTTTCACAATTTGCATGCAAATGAAGCAGAAAAGAGTCAGCAACCTAAGATAATAATATCTACCCAGAAGGGGGAGAAGGCACAAAAAAAAAAAAAAAAAAAAAAAAAGAGCTCCAATTACAATGCACAGAAGGGAAAAGTGGAGCAAAGGGAGCGAGTTAGTGGAGAATTACCTGGTAGTTGTGGATCATAAGACGCCCCATGTGATCCTCCTTCCACTTTAAACTGTGCTTTTTCAACTTTAGGAAATGCTAAAGAAGATAAATCCTTTCCTAATTGACTGCTAGGTAACCCACTGGATACAGTAGATACTTTCACTTCAGTAGCGAGTGGTTTATGTGTTGTGGATACGGGAGTTGCTGCTGATACGTGACCAGGCAAAGAAGCTGAAAAGCCTGCAGAAGATAATGATATATTACTTGGTTTATCAGAAGGAAGCACCCGAAAAGCATTTGCTGACCCACGGCTTTCAGGCATTGCACCAAAGCTTGGTTGCATCATTTGAGATGTATATTTAGCTGAAGGTGCAGCAAATTTCTTGGACTCTTCCATCTGGAGAAGTATTAAGAAGTCAGCGCGAGAATTCAAATCGAATCATTCCCCAACAAAAACACAGAACAACCTTGGATTACATTTATTTAACTTACACTTCAATAAAATTCGACCAAAACCAAAAAGATAGTTAAATATCTCAAGCAATAATGAAGAGTTAGTATGAATAATTCCCAACAACAGAAACAAAAGAAACATTTGACAACATAGGCTTATTGTATTGCGAATGTGGAGGGATACTCCTCAGTTGCATTGATGAACATGCATGGGAGCTTAACAACTTAATTTGTTCACAAGTTAATGCATTTGATAGCTTAAACAGTGTAAAAGAAGATAGAAAATGATGAAAAAAAATGAAGAGTAACAGAGAACTTAAACCACAGCTACAACTCTCATCAATGCTTCCTGAAAACAATGACTTACACACCCTCAATTATCTTTATCCCTTATATCCCCAAATTAAGAAGCCCTATCACCTGACTAGGCACACTGCAACAAGGGTTTGAAAACTTCTACTTGCCCAGCACACTCCAACAAGGGTGTGAACTTCTATTTCTCTCAAGTGCCAGAAAATAAAAAATATGAGGCTCTAAGTCGCAGCTCCTTCCCTCTTCACATCTTCTACCAAGCAACCAAAGTATTCTACCATAAACCAATGATATCGCTTATTTAAAAGGAAAGGAAAGCTATCAACCTCAGATATCGCTTATTTTAAAGGAAATCAGAGCTATCAACCTGACATATGCTACTAGAGCCATTTGTGTATTGCATCTTAAGTACAACAAATCCAAGTATCCAACTATATCGAAATCAACCATACATATGACAGCTCGCCTAGGAAAAAAAAAAAAAAAAAAATCTTTGCTAATTGTCCAAACCATCTTTGCTAATTACTTGTTAAACCACAAACAAAAGCAAACCAACCCTCAATGCATGAAAAAAATAACACAAAAACAAGCATAAAAAGGGGGAAAGGGAAAATGAAAAGGCCTAGGAAAACCAAAATTTCTAACCAAAAAATTAGGAATTTCTTTTTATCACTTACCTTCCTCTTTGAAAGGGAGAGCTTCTCCTTAATGGACAGCCTAGATCCTCGAAATCCTAACCGTTGATCTTTAAGCTTAAAGTTAAGCCCTAAATCCTCAATAACAGTCCCAATTGAATCTCTAGCCACTAAATCCTTAGGTGCCAAATCTTGACAAATATCTACCAATTTTGCCCTCGCTTCCTCCATCAGTTTCACCTCCGCCTCCGTCGGATTCTTCCCTCCTCCTCTCATCCCTGCCATTGCAGATAGCACCAGAACCATCTCCGCCACTCTCCCTATCTCAACCATGCCATTTTTTGCTCTTTTGGCCGCCAATTCTTCCCTCTCTACGTTTTCCATTTGTCTCTTCTCGCTAATAAAATCAGTTTCACCGTACGATTGCGAATCGGACTGCGGGAGAGACTCATTATTATTATTATTATTACTATCTGCCGCCGGTAGATCCATTGGTTCAAAAAGTAAAGAAGTCAGTCCATGCGCCACGACGCCGTTTCAAACACCGGCACCTGCAAGAGATAGAGATTAGAGCGCGAGAGGACTGATGAGATAGAGATACGAGGAGAAACCCTAAAGAAAGAGAGAGCTCAGAGAATTTAAAACATTAGAGACGTTAAGAAAACCTTTTTGGCGGGTAAAAATTGAAGAGTGCGAGGGCGAGAGAGATTTTTTTTGTGTTATATTTTTATTATATTTTCTGTTGCAAGTAAAGAAGGAAAAGGGGTTGGGGGTGCGATTTGAGCAGAGAGGCAAAGCCGAAGCGTGGTTTTTCTTTTCGAAAGAGAATGGGGTTTATTTTTGCTTTGGCCTTTTGGTTCTTACATTTATTCTGGTTACGGGAACCGGGCGGTTTTATTATACATCCGGTTTAAGAGTAATAGGAGTCGGTTTAGCGTGTAAATTTTAAGGTGGAGAAATAGAAGTTTTTGTTAGGGATTAAATAATTTTTTATCCCGTTTTGGAAAAATTATTAGATATTATACAAGTTGTACTCTGTTCTCTCACGAAAACGTGGAACTCGCTATAGAATATTTTTGTAAGAGAGAGAAGTACAGTTCCTAATGTACTGAATAATTTCTTTTAGTTTTATTAGTTTAACACCTCATCAATTGAATTGGTTAATGTCGCTGTAAGAACGTTAATTTTTCTAAACTTCAGTAGCCATAGAAAAATGAAGAATTATTTAGTACACTAGAACTATATTCTTTCTTCCTACAAAAATACGAGACCTATGAATTATTTTTATAATGGATCTTATGTTTTTTTTTAAGAGATCAAATTACAACTTTTAACATACTTAGGTGTCTGTTTGATAATCGGGAATAGAGTAGTGGAAATGAGAATGAAAATTTTGTTCTCATATTATAGTTGTTTGATTAAAAGGAATGAAGTAGGAATGGAATAAAAATTTACATATAAATTTATTCCAACATAAGATGTGGGAATGAAAATTAAGGAATGGAAATGAATTTTTTTTCTTCAAAATAATAATATATTTTATATATTTATCGTCTATTAACTATTTTTACTACCGTCACAACCACCACCACTAGAATTACCACTACCATAATCACCACCACTACTATCACCTTTATTATTTTTACAACTATTATAGTTTAATAAAATTATTTTTTTAATCATTATTTTTATTTATATAAAAAAAATCAGATATTAAAAAATTTAAATTGCATTCCGATTCCCGCATTCCCATTCGGACCTTTCATTCCTTATAACCAAACGACACCTTAATAATTTCTTTAATTTCTAATAAAAAGGTTCTAAAAATAGCTAAAAGTGCCAAAAAAAAAAAAAAAACTAAGAGTTTTACTAAAAATAAAAATAAAATACTAAGATAAGTGAAGAAAGCATGCAAATCAACTCTCACGGGAGGGAGACTTGGTGCGTAGCACTATCTTCTCTAGAGAGAGAACTAGTTAAATACTCACGCTATCGTCATGATCGGACAATCATTATATACATAGGGTTAATGATTCGTATACAATAATGCGAATAGATGTTTTGTTTCGAAAATTAATGTAATTCGAATCTATATATTGAATGAACTTATTTTATTTATATATATTTATTAACAAAATAATTTATAATATTAGTATAAAAATTTGTATTTAAATAATTAAGAGATTCTTTCAAAATATTAATTAAATTATTTTATTTAAAAATACAAATTTTAGAATATTAAAAATAAATAACAAATAATTGATGTTATTTGTGCAAATATAGTTAATTTCTAACAAAACTATATACATTGTACTTAGTAGATTTAAAGTATATAAAATAAATAAATAAATATAAAAAAACTCACCTAAATCGCATGGAATATATTGAAGTAAATAGATTTAAATAAAAACTACTATAAAATTGATTTCGATAAATTTTGATTATATATATATATATATATATATATAACCAAATAAAACCTGTGAATTTTTTTAACTAGTTATTAAATTTTTTTAAAAAAATTAGCTGAATTATTTTTTAAAAAAATTAAATCAAATTATCTAAAACACACTTTTAGCTCTCTATCTCTCTCCCTCATCAAAATATATATATATTGTACTTAGCAGATTCGAGTATGTAAAATAAATAAAAAAATATATAAAAAAAACTCACTTAAATTGCATGGAATATATTGAAGTAAATAGATTTAAATAAAAAATATTATAAAATTAGTTTCAAAAAATTGTGATTATACATATAAAACCACATAAAACCTATGAATTTTTTTAACTAATTATTAAAATTTTTTAGAAAAAACCAAGTTAAATTATTGTTTTAACTTATTATTATTTTAAACAAAAAAATTAAGTCAAATTATCTAAAACATACTTTCAACTCTCTCTCTCTCTCTCTCTCTCTTTCATCAAAATTTATATATGCAACAACGCCATTTTAACTTAAAAATCATAAAAATAATCAATCGTATAAATTATAATAATATATTTTAAAAAATAAAAAATCATGCTCTAAGATTTTATTTCAAAAGCCATATATAAAAAAATTAAATTTATTAACAAATAAAATTATATAAAAATTAAAAATTAATTCGATGAGAATTTGAATAAGAAACAAAAAATTGAAGAAATAAATTTTAAATAATAAAAATAATATAATCGGATATATATGTTAAAATTAAAATCTTAAAAAAATATCATATATAATCTATTACTATCAAATTGTACGTAAAACTAAAAAAAAAATTATATTTTCACACCTAATTTCATGATAAAAAATATAAAAATAAATTATTTATATAGAAGGGGAACAATTGCCATCCGAGAAAATATAGAAACCGAAAAATAATCCTTTTTTCTTTTCTCAATTGCCAAGTGATCTGACCTTTATATATATATATTAAAAAAAAAACTCGCTACGGTGAATGAGCAATTCCACGTCCAAATCTTTTAGTTTTTTTTATAATGTGCATCTCTTTAATTAGGGAGAGGGCACACCTCCGTTACCTAATTAGAGGGTGCGCACCATCTCAAACATAAAAAATAAGTTTTTTCTCATTCTCACGAGTTTTGATGTTTTTTTTTCCTTCTCATATATCTTCTTTTATTCTTACTTGTGTATTCTTCTAAATTCATTTTTAAGCAAGAATTATCTTTAGTTACATAATATTCTCTTGAGTGAATACTAGTCCGTATCAAATTTTTCATGTTAAACACTCAAAAAGTCATTAAAAGAGAAAGAGTTGCACCATTTTTTTTCCCACAAGTAAGAAGAGAATGCGTGCCAAGCTCATGTTGGAATTTTATACAAGTTTGCTCCATTTGTCCTAAATTTGATTGTGCACGCCAAGCTATTTTTTAGATAAAAATTATTGTTTCGCTTTTTATATACTTCATGTATTTTTCTTCCTTCTCTATAAGATATTTTCATATTCTAAATTCATCTTGAACTAACACTATGCCTCATAGTTTTCTATTATGTTGTGACTTTCGGGACGCATCAAAGATCAATTCTTACACTTGAAGGCTATATGTGAGCTTTTGATAGAAGTAAGGTCTATTCCTAACAAATAAGTATTATAAAAAATATTGTGAGAATGTGGTTGGGAAGAATCAATGCAAGGTACATTAAGCGGCTATCAAGTTTGTTAGAACAAAGAATTTGGGTCGAGTCACCCATGACGTATTGATCCGATAACAAAATTATTTAAAAAAGAAAAAAACTAAGCTATGCTCTTGACATTTTCTTAATGTGACCCTTGTACTTTTTTTTATTCAACCCCTTCATATACTATTAAATTTTTCTTAATGTGACTCCTCCAATTGTTTTTCGATCAATTTTCCGATCAAAACAGACAGTTGAGATAAAATAATCCATGTGGCATGACACAACATATTTTTTTCCAAGTGAAAAAAAAATTATTTTTCTCCTCCCTCTTCTTCTTCTTCTCTCCTCTATCTCTCTATAACACTCCCCAACCTAGGACCTAATAGGTTGAGAATATCATCGTCGTTAACCTATATTCGAAGTGCAATGAATGCAAACTAACAAGACACCGTGACTTATTTATAATACTCCTATGTATAAATTACGTCGTGGAAGTCTAATATATGGTGATTAGGTCCTACATTTTAGTTCAAAATGCACTATAATTTTCTTTTGTTTTATTATTTTATTTGACTTATTTGAAATGAGATAATTAGAACCGTGACATTCGATTTTCTCAAATTCTTTTTCTATTAACTTGTATAAATTTATCTCGGTCATAACCTATTACTCGATAATTAATTATTTTTCCTTTTAGTTAATGACCATTTATTTTGATTATTGTCTCGCTTAGTTTTATTGTCTTATTACACTAGAAATGCTAGTATGGAAATAAATAATTTAAAGAAAACTACACTAGCTACGATTATACTACTATTTTACTACCGATATTTTGTTTAAATATAAACTACCATTAATGTACAAAACCAGTTCAATGCCGGATACTACAAAAAATGGCTCATTACCTATTTTCATTCATTACCTCCTAACCGATTAATCACTCTTTCATAGCTTTAACTACCTTATAAAAGAACACGGACATGGCTAAAGAGTAAACTAATATACCAAGTGTTAAGACAGATCAATGTGTGCACTAGATCCATTTTCCAATCACATCCAATATACACTCATTAGCTACGATTTCTTTGGTAATCAGCTCAAAAGTGAACATCATCATCTTTACTTGTATTAGCTACACCACAAGCAAATAAGTGAGCGATAGCTTAGTAAGTTAACTAATGCATGACGTGAATGTATGTATAATGCATACAAAAAATCATTCTCATGTCATTTCAAAAACCTTTTTTATGTCATAAAAGCCTTTTTATGATCAATCCGAAAAATCTTTTCTATCTTCGGACACATCATGTTTCGAACTTCGGGGTTTCCATGTTATGTTTGGAAAACCGGACTAGTCCGCGGATGTGTAT